AACACCCCAAAAAAATGAACTCACTTGATCCTGGCACCGCGCTACTACAGACCACAGTACAAAATAGTTCGCAGTAGGACCACTTCTTATGATTTGAACTGTTTTTAGTTTGTAGTGAGTAGTTACAAATTACGTCTTTAGTTAATATTTTGTATGATGTTGTATTAAATTGATACGTATTTAGTTTGTTTTTTTACTGATTTCGATTATTTCAAAAATACTTCGTATAAAATTTTAAATTTCTTTTTAATAATTTTATGTAAGTTTTACAAATGCGTAAGTATTCAAAGTGAAATAATTACAATAATGATCTAAAACTACATCTTAACCAATCGATCAACTATGAAACAATTTCTAAAACTCTTCCATACTGAGTTGGTGAATTTTTTCAAAATTTTTGTCAGACTCGTTAGACGTTTGATGGTCAGTCCTGAATAAATCAGGTCTGTTATTTTCTTTGTCTGGTACATCAATTACAGACATGGAGTAACATTCCAGTGTTAGATCTCGGATCGCCATCCCACGCGCATATCTTCTGTCAGCAATTTCTGTGAGTAAGCAATTTTTATAACAAAAGTACTAACTTTGGCTCCATAGTTTTCCAAAAGTCATCATCTCTTTCAATATATTTTGTGAAAATTGTTTAATTGTCACCTGACCAAATTCTTATAAACAAACTTTCCTACCCGTAACATGCAGCTGGCCCTGAATTTGGTGCTTTTTTTTGTACGGTTACTGTGCCTGTTTTTTTGTCGTATTTGAGAATTTGAATTTTGTTTTCCTTAATTGAATTTTTAAGACCTTTTTTAGAAGCTGTAATGGGACACTTTATCTCGACTAGCATATCATCTCCTACCAGTCCGTCCGGAGTTGCACCGATAAATGGATGAGTTTGATCGATAAATAATCCACAATGCATATTTTTCACATTTTCTTGCTTTTCCAGTTGTTGTAGAGCTTGACTTTCATGTTCGATTCCGTGGCAAATGGAGGCAACGTTTAACAAATTATTAGGATATAATATATTTTTAACAAGTGAAGCAGTACCATAATCAGCTTTTCTTTTACATATAGGGCCGAAATTTAAAGCTGTAACAAGATTTTTTCTTAACTCAAGCCATTCACTGCTGTCCCTTTGCAATACGGTAGCCCTTTCAATAGCATTCCTATCACATGTAACATCCTTCAAATTTTTCATAAATTCTTCTTTAGCTTTTTCTAACTGTTATGGAGACATATCAGGTGCTGCACTTGCTGGACCATAATCATGTTGCTTTTTGTTAATTTCCTTTAATATTCTTCATTTTTTTTGGATGTTCAAAATTTATGTTCCGTTTTTGAGACCTTTTTCTTTCTACAATCACAACATTTCCTCCGGGACATTTGCCAGTAAAAGCCGATTGAACTATGGTTGTAGCCGATTTGGTGTTGAATGACACTACTGCTGCTGAACACCTACCTTGATCACCTCCTTTCAAAACAAAATTCATTCCTTTTCCTCCAATAAATTTTGCAATTACACTGTTAAAGCATTCGACATTGTTGGTATCCACGTCTTTAATTAAACTTCGTGATTTTGCTGCAATACTGGAAACAATGGCATTTATCCAAAAAATAAAGGTTGAGTTTTGAATTTTTTTAAGTTTTTCATAATCATTTTTTTTCTTTTGTACAGTAATAATCCTGGCAAAATCTATAGTCACCATATGCATGTGACACAGAGTTAATGATATCGTTGTGTAACATCGATATTACAACATCTCGAGGACTCTGCGACACTTTGTGATGTTTTATGGCTTTCACAATTGCTTTCCGCACTGTTAAAATTTTTACATTAGTCAATGTTTTTCGTTGAGCCAAAGCGTATTTTGTTTCTGTTATTGAAATACGCATTCTTTTACAAAAGTTTCGTAAGATATGGTTACGGCACTCAATTTTTTCGACAGTGACGTTTTGTTCTGCATATGGTCTGGCGTGTAGGATTTTCGCGTAAGTAGAGGCGTCACCATCACCAATCATTCTACCATATATGAGGCCGTATGAAGATATAGAAGACTTAAATCCTTCGACTATAATCTCATTTTCCATAGACGTTGACGATCCTTCGTAATTTTTGAAGCATTTATGCTCCTTAGGTGAAATATTGTTATTTTCAGCTTGGGCACACACAAGACAGTATTTATTTTTCACCCCAATGTAAAGAATTTGACCAGTTTTTCTGCCGATGATAGCTGCAGTACCAGATAATGCTTTATAATTAGAACCATAGGATCGAGCGCACCAGGAGCCATCAACGAGAACGTCAATTATGGTAAAATCATCCATGGTTCGGCCTTCTTCGATAGCTATTTCTTTTTCTTTTTCTGCAGCTGCTGACATAGAAGAACTCGCAGTTTGTTCCCATTTTTTAAGAACCTGATCTTAATATTTGGTATAAGTATTCGGAGTAAATACTGGAACGTCTATTGCTGAACATAGCTCTTCAAATTGAGAATAACCAATATCAGAAGCAATGATGCCATTGGTCGCGGCAATGTTTAGATTAATTTTTTCAGTATCATGTGTGTTTTCAGATTTAATTGTACAGATATGCTTGAACATATTGCATTCAAATTTGAAAAAGGATGTAAGTCCTCTTTTTTTCACCCATTAGACGAAAATTACTCATGTTACAGCTGAAAAATTCATTATGACAAACTTTTTTTTTGTAACTTTTCTAAGAGGTAATTAATATCAATGATCCGCCGTTCTAGAACATGCTGAAATTCTTCATTGCTTTTTTTTAGGCTTAATAACGTATGAATCGTCATTGTCTTAAGTTGGTCTGAAAAATAAATTCAGGGAAAAATAAATAAATTCAAATTGTAGATGAACCCAAGGGGGTTCATCTACAATTTGAATTTATTTATTTTTTACACGTGAAACTGAACAACTTTCCTAAAGAAAACCATATTGAAATCTGAAAAAAAAATTGATCTCCCAAACGAAATATGTTACTTGACTGGACAATTTGTAGGGCAGAACGATTTTTTTTTAAATTTCGATATGGGCTTCTTTATTTTTAAATAACTACTTACACATAATTAGTTATATTCTGTACATTATTATTTAGTGTAGTTGTGCTACTGCTGGGCAAATTACTCTGTTGTCTGAAAAATACATTGTCCAATTATTAAAACAGCACGTGTCAGCAAGTAATGAGAGAAACTATAAGGCCTATAAAGCCTATTAAACTATAAAGCGGGCTGACAGTGGTGCGAACAATGGATTTCCATTGTCCGCACCACTGTCACTAATCACGCCAATATTACAAATGGGAAAGTTTGGATGTTTGTTTGTTACTCAATATCCTTCAAAACCACTGCACCGAATTGAATGAAATTTAGTTCACAGATAGTATATGACCAGGATTAACTTAGGTACTTTTTACCGGTTTTTATAAAAAACATGTGCAGGATGTGGCGAAGATCAATTGTTTTACATACCTAATATATAATATGTAGATGAGTTAAATAATAATTTGTTTTTAGATTTCAGATTTCGCTAACACATTTACTTTTCATTGAGGTTTTCTTGTGATCTAAACATGGCTTTGGTCCGTGGTGCTTTTGCACTGAAAACAAAAAAAAGGTCACAATTGCTACATTCGGTGGTCTTACTGTTGTATACTTATACTGTGACATATAAAGTAATATATATAAAATAATAAATAAAACTATTGTTTTTACTGTTTTTACGTGAAGTTGCATTTCTTAATTTTTTTTTATTAAAAAGTGAAAATAAATCAACAGGTATTCATTCATACTCACATTAACGTTTTTTTCAATATTCGTATTTTTAATTTTGATAATTTTTTATATGCTGTTTTATTTTCCATGTTTCTGCAATTATGAACTGCACTTATATGCTGAAATATAAACTTCAATCTTAAGTTTACTCGCGATCAATATTTTCGAGATCGGAACGGCGGTGCGCGCGAAAATTAGACACAGAACGTGCTTTGGCAAGGCCCGGCGGGCGACTAGCGTGAGTAGAGCTTGCATTCTATTATATATTATTTAGATTTATAAAAAGCAAATAGCAATTTTAAAAAACGAACTGCAGAATAGTTTGTTAAAAACATGCTTGGATATTGTAGTTTAATTTTTATAGTAATTTACGTGGTATTTCAGAAATGAAACGAAATAATAGAACTCAAAAGACCAAAGTTTAGATAAAATTTCTATCGAAAAAATTTTGGAATATATGTTTTAGAGGTGAACCTCATATCTTAAATTTTATGTATTTTTCTTGGGTCTTGGAAACTTTATTAGAGTCCATGAAATTGTTTTGAATATCAGTAATTTACTAATAATACTAGTAGTCGATATCTAAGCGTGAGGTCGAGGATTCGATCCCCGGGTCAGGCAGAATTATTGGATTTTTCCATTAGAAATTTCTCAGTAGCTGCTTGGAATCTGAATTAAAAAATAGTCCAATTAGTACTAAATAAAATTTTTTAAAGCAGTTGAAAATAAAGTATTTCTAACATGATGTTAAAGTAGTTTTACAGACGTATTTCAATAGTAGTCGATATCTAAGCGTGAGGTCGCAGATTCGATCCCCGGGTCAGGCAGTATTATTGGATTTTTCCATTATAAATTTCTCAGTAGCTGCTTGAAGTCTGAATTTAAAAAAGTCTAATTAGTACTAAATTTTTTTAAAGCAGTTGAAAATAAAGTATTTCTAACATTATGTTAAAGTAGTTTTTACAGACGAATTTCAATAGTAGCCGATATCTAAGCGTGAGGTCGCTGGTTTGATTCCCGGGTCGGGCAGTGTTATTGGGTTTTTTCATTAGAAATTTCTCAGTAGCAGCTTGGAGTCTGAATTTGTGTCCGGTTAACGGCAATAGGCCCGCCACCTGTTACATGATACTTGTAACATAATTGGCGAAATGTGGGTGTACAATATAAGTCTGCCTAACCTTCCGTGGAATACAGACGTCATGAATTACGTACCTATGGAGTACGATCTAATTGCTCAGTATTATCTTTACTCCGATAGTGGTCAAACCATGCTTGTGTTATGTCAGCAAACATGCGTAACACTTGGATACGCTCATGGTCAACCTCTATTCTTCGAGTTTCCAGGCCATACAGCTGCCTGTCACGTTTCTCCTCTTGTCGAAGACGTATATTTTCGATGGCAACGAACTCGCTCATCGCTCTATCGAATGGGAAGGGGCGTGAAGTGTACGCCTCCGGCGTGCCCTTAATGTTCTTCGTGCAGGGGAAGCCGTTACCCCAGATCTCGGGGTTGATGACAACCGTCGCCTGCTGGGCAGGGGTGGAAGGTGCAGGTTGCACCCTTGAACTCTTCCTCGCCGATTGATTGCATAGAGTTGATGTCCGTGTGGGGGTGTTTATGTGCAGTGGCTGCCAGCTAGCTAGGGTTTGGGAATTCCCGACAACTTTTAAGTCCCGGGACACGAGACCGTCTACTATTTAAACAAAATTCCGGGATATTCCCGGGACTTTGAATTTTTTTTAAGAGAAGTGAGTCTTTTTTGAAGAATTTTAATTCAGTAAATTTCTGGTGAAACGTATTGAAAAAGGCAATTTTTGTTAAAAATCAACATTTATTAATGTTATTAAGAAAAATATAATTTATCTTAATAACTTTAACGTTATTTCAGTCTTAATAATTGCATTGTTCGTTTCTTTTAATCAGTCAGATTCACTTTTATCAGCAGTTAAATCTTATAGTTTTAAAACGAACATAGTTAAAAATCATACTAATTCTTACATAACATTACTATTATGTAGTAATTCTAGAATCTAATTATTGGTCATTATAACAACATTGTTAATTCAGATTTGTTTCATAATTAAATAATCTGAATAAAAATAATAAAGCAGACTTATAAATCAGACTTTCAAATAATAAACTAACACATTAATTAGACTTCTTTGCTTGTTTAATAAAATAGGCTTTTAAAAAATCAGAGCGTCAACAGCTTTGTTCGACAATTTGTTTCTGATTTTTGTAATCATGCCACCGGACAAGGAGAACACACACCCTTGTTTTCAACAGGTGTCGGTTTGATTGTGTTTAAGGCTTTATAAAGTAGTTCCAAACTTTTTGTACGTTTTACGGTTGATCAAAAAATAGAAACTCCTTTTATAATTTAACTAACAGATGACGCTAGGCTCTTTCAATTATTTGAAAATAAAAATGATGATAACATAACATTTTCGACAATCTTGTCTCGTCTCGAGTCTCGACCCGAAAGTCCCGATGACGTAGGAGTAGCAGGCGCGGGCGATAAAGCCACAGATTCTGTAAAAAAAGTGAACTTGAATTCAAACTCTTTGAACTCTCCCCCATCTGGACGCAAAAGCTATCAGACGTGTACACATATTTCTTTAAATTAAAAATTAAAATTAATTGAGTGCTCACAGTGATAAAAATACACGACATAAAAATAGGGGTGCATAGACAGAAGAAGTTCAGTGAAAAAAAAAAAAAAAAAAAAAGTGTAATATCCGTTACTTTCCTGATTGCCTGGTACTTCTATTGCCGAGCGTCGTTATAGAAAAATATACGAGGAGTGCAGGACGTACTTACGGACTCCCCACGTAGGTGTGCGTTGCTGCCCTGGTATTACCACAACACTGTTTTTACGTGAACAAATCAGCGCACGCGCAGTATCCAACTACGCCTAATTAGCAAGCGTGCCATTTTGCTTGCTCGGACGTCTCGTTTGCGCGACATCTGTTGTCACCTGTTGCGTTCGCTGCGCGTACGCTACCGCATTACAACACTGATTGCCTAGTACTTATGGACTCATCAATAGACAAATCATTCACCGATGCGGAGTCGCCGCCATCGACCTACGTATCACAACGCAAAAAAAACACTAAAGATGACACGCAGGATCTAATTATTATGCAGTTAAATGAATTTAGGAAAGAAATGAAGGAAATGATAACTTCCTTCTCCTTTAAACACGAAAAGGATTTGGAACTAGTTACAACAAGTTTAAAAGATATACAGCGATCCAATGTCAACATTGAAAATTCGATATCATATTTAACGGCACAAAACGAAGAATTTAAAACAAGGATTAATCAACTTGAGAGCAAAGTAAGTGAAGATAAAAAATATATAACAATTTTAGAAAATAAAATTGGGGATTTACAAATGGGTTGCCGCAAGAATAATCTTCAAATAAAAAATGTGCCAAATAAAAGTAATGAAAGTAAAGAAGACCTTATTGAGATGGTATTATGCTTATCCCAAAACTTAGACTGCCCAATAACTAAGACTGACATCTTAGACATTTACAGGGTTCGTGGTAAGAAATCTGAGGAGAAGAATACTCCGATTGTGGTGGAAACCAGCTCCGTACTAATAAAAACTGAGATTCTCAAAAAAGGTAAAGCCTTTAACAAAAAACATAGATCTAAAATATGTAGTCAACACTTAGGTATTAAAACGGAAGCCGACATCCCCGTCTTTTTATCGGAGCACCTGACTGTAAAAGGGTCTAGACTGCACTTTCTGGCAAGGGACCTGGCAAAAACCCACTCTTATAAGTTCTGCTGGACTGCATACGGGAAAATCTATATAAGAAAAGATGAAAACTCTCCTATTGTTATAATTAAAAGTGAAGAGCAGATTCGAAAGCTGCAATTCGAAAAATGACTATCCGGTGTAGTAGTACTATTTTTTTATATATTACATAAGAATAATTTTTCGCTATTTCTCTACTGGATATTTTCCTTAGATGTTTATTTCTCAATAATATTATCTTTTAAGCTTTTTTAGTTACTATAAAACTACATTGTTTTACCTTATGCTTCAAATTTCAAATTGCTATGCTAAAAATGTTAATTTATTATTCATGTATTACACGTGCTATCACATACACTCATACATCTGTTTACACATCACACTCAATCCTCATACTAATCTTCAAGATATATAGATATACGAGTAAGTTAACATATCAGTTTAAAATAAATTTTAACTTTGTATACTCCAGATTGAGATTTACAGCACCTTATAACTACCAACACCCTACATATTACTATATTTACACGCCTATTACATACACACTACGTATTAATTCACACTCAATACACAATCACACAAGTGCCATACATAAGAGCATCATACAGTACTATTTACATTATGTTACATTACAGTATATAATAAATAATATATTAAATTTATGGTTAATAATAAGAAATACTCAATATCATTTTGGTACTGTAACTATGATAAATTACTATGATGAGTATATAAGAGCCTGTAGCTCTCATATTAAATTGAAAATGACGTCAATACCTGCCTACACACAAAATGGATAATAAGACCTTACAAACTTTACAAGAAATAGATAGTATAGACATAGCGCGGTCTATCGAGTGTAGTAGTACTTCTGACCTAACAAAACATATTTATATTAACAAAAACGATCTTACCATTATTTCCCAGAATATTAGAAGTATTTACCATAACTTTGATGATTTTTTAATTACATATTCTAGCCTAACATTTGACACAGATATAATAATTTTAACTGAATGTCGATTAAATGTAAATAAACCTATTCCCCAACTTAATAACTATTGCTCTTATGCTACAAAATATCAGGTGAATCAAAATGATGGAGTAGTGGTTTATGTCAAAAATACGTTACAACCTAAAGTTAAGGAAATACAAATATCACAGACTTCTTGTCTACAGCTAGATCTACTCAATAATACCATATTATGTATATATCGTTCTCCATCTAACACTAACACTGATATTTTTATTGATTCACTTGATACCCACTTAAGTACATTAAATACCCAGAATAACGTTATAATTGCAGGAGATATTAATATTAATATAAAAACAAAATCTGTAGAACTTCCTAATGAGTTTAAAAATAGGGCAAACTACCTAAATATGCTTTCAACACATGGTATACTTCCTGGACATTGTTTACCCACCAGAGAAAAAAATTGTTTGGATCATTTTATGTTAAAAATTAATAAAAAAGAAAGTATCAGCTTTTATAGCAATTATACAAACATCTATCACAGATCATTTTACTACATTTTTATCATTATCTAAGTTAAAGAGCAATATAAGAATAAATAAAACAAAGAATTCTATAGATTTTGAAAAAGCACTTAAGCATCTACGTGACCAAAATTTGCAAGAATTACTGTTTTGTGAGGATCCAAATTTATTAATAAGTCAACTTATACAACGAATAACTGATTAATTGAAAACGTGTACTGAAATTAGAGTTATTCCTAGCAACAAACGGGTCATAAAACCTTGGATAACAACTGGTATTTTACGTTGCATTAAAAATCGAAATAATTTACAAAAACAAGCAAGAAAAGACCCACACGATGAAATACTTAAGATAACGTATAAAAGGTATAGGAATTACTGTAATAATCTTTTAAAACATCTAAAGCGTAAATATGAACGAGAATTACTTGCAAAATCGGTTTCAAATAATAAATTACTTTGGAAGAATATTAAAAACATAACATACTGCAATAAATCTAAGGATCAAAATACAGAGTTATTAAATATAAAATCATCACCACTGCAATCAATCAACTATATTAATGAATACTTTGTCAATATTGGTAAAAAATTAGCACAACAACTAAATTCAAGCGGCCATAACATACAACATCATAACTTGCCTACACAGTCTAATTCCTTTGTACTATTAAATACGGACACAGGTGAGGTGGAGAGCATATTAATGAATTTAAAGACTGATAGTGCCCCTGGTTGGGACGGGATCTCCACTAGATTTTTAAAGTATGCCAAGAACGAACTGATACCAATTTTCACCCACCTCACTAACCTATGTTTTGAAAAAAGGCGTTTTCCCGGAGAAACTAAAAAAATCTTCTATTGTACCAATATTTAAGGGAGGGGACAGAAGCAACATCAGTAATTATAGGCCCATATCAATATTACCAGCTATATCAAAAATACTTGAAAAATTAATTAATATTCGACTTCTTAATTATTTAAATTCTTTTAATATATTATCTCCTTATCAGTTTGGTTTTAGGCATGGCAAATCTAGTGAGGATGCAGTTGCTCGTATGACATCATTGGTGGTTGATGACTTAGATAAAGGTCAAAAAATGCTTAACTGTGTACTTAGATCTCATGAAAGCGTTTGACACGG